CACGTACACACACACCTATACGCATGTACACGTGCACGCGAGCATGCACACCACACACACACACACACACACACACACACACACACACACACACACACAACCACAAACACACACATAAACACACAACCACAAACACACACATAAACACACATACCGTGATACAGACAAAAACACACACGCACCCAGTTCTCACCAAAGCTGCTCTGGCTGTCTCGGAACATCACCGGCGCCCGCATCAGCCGCGCAAAGTCCTCCCCCCTGGCGCCCCCAGCCACAGAAACCTCGACACCCGGGAACTTTGACCTCAGGTGCGCCGCCCGCGCGCCCTGCAGCCGCCGGCAGAGCGCGTCCGACGCCCGCGCCTCGAAGAGCAGCTGGATGCGCTTGGTTTTCGTGGGGTCGATGTTTTTGGTGTAGAAACTGAAGGCGACCGGGCCGTACCTGCATGGGTATTTTTTGTCCAATGTGAACGAATGGTGGTGCAACCCAGGATTAGTGTGTGCATAGGGTTGAGCTGCAACGCGTGGCGGCTTCTCGCCAGGCTGTGGCCGGTGGAAGCGTGTGTGCCCCAGGGCGAGGTCGGCAGGGGCGGCCCCGGTGGCGACCCGCGGCGCTGCCTGGCGCCACGTGACAGGCCGGCGCATGCAGTTTGCGGCATGCAATGGCATGACCCGAGGATGGGAGCGGCGGCTGCCGGCATGACCAGCCGGCTGGCCGGCCCTGCCGGCCGGCCGGGGGCGCATCTGGGGGAGGGGGCTCACTCTGGGTGGTTCAGCAGTGTCTCCTTCGAGCAGCGCTCCTGCCAGGCCGAGCCGGGGCGAGCCGCGCGCGAGGGCGTGCGCACGCGAAGCAGTGCGGTGAGACGCGGGGCCCGCCGGGCCGGCGGGAACGGAAGCATTGCGGTGTCGCTCGGGGGTTGTGCCACCATAGTCTTGTGCGCTGCCCCCCAGGGTCCATGCCCCCTCTACAATCACACATTGAATCCTCCCCTCTAAGCCCCCACCCAACCGCCCACCTGTATTACCACGTCGCCTTCCTGGTACTGCGGCAGCTTCCTGCCAGCTGCCGCCGCCTCGCCCTCGACGGCCCTCTGCGTGTCGTCGCGGATCGTCTGCCGAATCCCGGACCACGGGCCGCTGCAGCGGTGTGCGTGCTCCCATGAATCCCCGTCACAGGCGCGGCAGGCGGCGTTGAAGGCGGGCACGTTGGGGCAGGTCGTCGGTGGCACTTTCTTGGGCAAGCGGGACAGCCAGGACGCACCCTCAAAGCCAACTAAGGGGGGGCGCGGTAACGTTCCGGTTTTTGCGGGTGTTGGATGGCGACGCGAGAATCGCAGGGCAGCTGGGCGTTGGAGAGGAGACAGATATTGCGGCGGCGGCAGCAGCGGCAGCAGCAGCAGCAGCAGCAGCAGCAGCAGCAGCAGCAGCAGCAGCAGCAGCAGCAGCAGCAGCAGGGGCAGCAACAGTGGCAATATTATCGGTGGCAGGACCAGCACAGGCAGCACAGCAGCAGCCGCGGCAGCAACAGCCGCGGCTGGCACGCGCCTGATCCCCTAAAGCGCAGCACAGCGTCGCAACGGAGGCGAGCAAGGGGCCCATCTTCCTCCCCGGGGGACATCACTCCAATACCCATGAGAACGCGCTGGTTTGCCTGACGCCCCGCAGCTTCGCACCACACTGCTCACCGTACGCGTCGAACCCATAGCCAGCTAGCAGCGCCAGCGCGCGCGCCTGCCAGTAGCCGCTGAGCACGTTGCCCCAGCGATCGGACGTGAAGGGCGTCCAGTACATGGTCCTGTGGCCGTATGGTCATCGTGTAATGTGCATAAACGGGTCAAGGAGCTCGATGCTGATCTGATTTCTGCACCTGAAGCAGTGCTGACACAGCGGCAGCGGCCGCCGCCACCGGCAGCCGCGGATGGGGTGGGGCGCGCCGCTGCGCACCCGTGTCCTGCGCTACACGCGCGAGGTTTGACCGCCGTTCGTGCGCTCGCCTGTCGTTGCCAATTGCGATGCGCGCGTGGGTGGCCACCCAGCACTCCGGGAACCACTTCTCAAGCTCTGGGCACTCTGGCCCCTTGACACGCGGCACATACGCTGCTGCTGCGCCCAAGCCGCTGCCGCCATGCCCTGGCGCAATCCCACCACCTACAAGCACCGCCAATGACAAAGCTACGGTGTGCAGTCCGAAATATAACCGTGTTTGTGGCATTGCGCGGTGCGTTTGAGCTTTGTCGGCAGATCAGCGCTCGCTCCTGGATGAATCGCGGACTAGTAGGTGTACTGATTGGCGATCATCAACTCCAAAACAGTGACATCACAGTCTGAGCCCAGCACCCGGTTTTGGCATGGACCTCGACACACCCCACGGCACCCGGGCAGTTTTTTTGTCAGCAAACAATGTGACCACTGGTCGGCCGACTTTCGCACTGCCGTACAGCGCATGCGAGCGGCATGATGCAAACACAAACACAAGTCTGTTGAGATCCAGGGCGTAATCCAGGTGGGTTGTGCATGCTTGCACACAGGACGCAGCAGCGAAACCAGCTGGTGACCTTCAGCTGCGCTGCCTCACCTTGCTGCACACTAACAAGATATTTTTGAGTAGCGACAGTGTTCGAATTTCCATGAATCACGATGCCCTCCTGCATTAGCGCAAGTCACGAGTTGCTGTCGCTGCACAGTATAGGGGAACCCGGGAGGGTCCCCAGTTGAAAGGGGACACCAACTGCTGCAAGGGGGACACCAACTCTAACATCCAGCTTGGTGTGGAGTGACACGCTCGCAGCACGAACACCTGCGCCACCCCCGTTGCTGGCGGCCTGGGCTGGCAAGGGGAGCCGCGGCAATGCCGGCATGCAAGTGAGGAGCGGGCAACTATGTAACGCCCCCCTCACCGCTGCCTCGCAGCCCTGATAATGTAGGCACTGCGCCTCCCGCCTGAACTTACCCACACTCCTGGACACTTTACCCCTGGGGCACTTCAACCCGAAGCGCTCGTTCTTGACGGCAAGGGGCGGTGGGAATCGGCGCCGCTGGTGGGGCGCGCGGAGGCCGACGGGGGCGAGTATACTTTTGTGTGGGGTTTGAGTGCGTCGGCGAGGGTCTGAAAAGGCAGTGGCGGACTGGGCTGCTTTCGCAGCGTCGCGTCGCTGGCCTGGCTGTTGCCCCGCCACCAGGCAGCAAACCAGCAGCCTAATCTACCATGCCCACTCCCTCCATCCCACCGTCATGCCACACAAAAGCATATGAGACCCCTGCCAGCCCCTGCAACCCCCTCCAACCCTGCCACCCCCTGTATCACACAGACTCATCCACCGACCGAAAGCCGTGGCTGCCTATGTTACAATGGTGAAACCCTTTCAACGCATACAAACTATCATGCAAAGCGGGGTGCTGCTGAGGGCGAAGGTGCGCGGCTCTCTCCTCGTTGCCAATGCGTAAGGAGTGACTGCTGAGTCATGGGTGTGCAGTTGCACGTGCAATAGACGGGAAAAACTGAACAGACAACCCCACACCATGCAATCCCCAACCGCAGCTTTGAACTGCGGTGGTTTGCCTGGGGTACCTGCAAGGGTTAAACGCGGCAGTGGCGGGTGAGTAAGCTTTTTGGGGGGCTGGCCGGCCACCAGAGTTGGCACTCACCTGTGGGTGGGCGGCCGGCCGGCCCAGATAGCATTGCCCCCCCTTGGCCCCTGACGGGGTCCTGGGGCGGCTCTCTCACCTTGTAGCCTTGAGATGTAGCCAGTGATCCTCCACCTCCTCCCCCTTCACGCCGCGGCGCTGGCGCCGGCCCTGCCGCCCTTGGACCGCGTCCGCGCGGCGACGGGCTGCGCCGGCTCGGCGTGCGCGCGCAGCTGGCGGCGCGGACGCCGCGACCGGCTCCGGCGCGGCGCGCGGCGCCCGTGGCGCGCAGGGCTTGAGGCGGCCTGCCGCCGTCACAGGAGCGCCGCCAACGGGAGGCCCGCCCGCCGCAGTGGCGG